ACAATAAGTGTAATTGTCTATTCGGTTTGCGCGGGAGACAATGCAGCAAATAAGAGGTCCCCATTCTGATAACCTCATTTTACCAGGCAGATCTTACTGTTTTTCCTGAATCCTCGCGATATAACAGTAGGAACATGAAAGTAAGATCAGGGATTGGTGGCTGCTGTTGACCCTGCAAAGGCTAAACTTCGACACCGGATATACAACGCTTTCCCTCGAATGCTCCCAAGTCTGGAGTCGAGTTTCTAGATCTCACTTTCATTGTACCAATCAAAGCGCGTGATGAAAAATGAAGACGAGTCGTTTGAAAGGTGTTCCAAACATCCGACCGCGCTCGGAGAAAACGCTCTAATGAAAAAGCCGAGGTCAGATGTTAAAAGGCGGGCATAGATTCGCGGCGGAGAGTACAGGTTACCACTGTTGCCGCACTTCCAACATCTTAGTATAGGAATTTGTTCTCTCTATTCTTCGTCTAACTTTCAGATTTTAAATTCTTATCTTTGGAGATAAGTAGCGAGAAGTAGGGTAATATATCCGTGGTTTTTGAGAGAGACTTTATTTTGCTGAAACTTCAAAATCAACATTTTTAACTTCGTCTTTAAAGGTAATTCTAACAATTACAGCCCGCGTTTAAAAAATTTACCAACTTCATCTAGTTTAAATCGAGAAGAAGAGGTTTGAAGTTTTATTTCTCCAATAGGCTCAATGTTGAGAACTAAGTTTTATGACTTTTTTCACATTTAAAACAATTTGTCTTGACTTTGAATTTTTGACAAGAGATAATTTACGATTAGATGAGTTCAAAACTACTCTCAACTTACGTTTTTTTTTCTTAATTTTTTCTTATTTTTTTTTACGAAATGCAACTTTAAGCGTTTCTGTTAAACCCGGTATAGTTGTAAATGCCTTACATTTTGCAATTAAGAACCACTATCTCTGGCCCATTTTAGAAACAACATACATGCCATTGGTTTCCCTATGCAGATGTGTGCTTTTATAATAGCGCCAGAGATATAATAGTGGTTCCTTATTGCAAAATGTAATCCATCTGATCATCGTTTCATAAGTAAAGTACCTTCATAGGGAGAGTATGGACAACTCGATTTATGCAGCTCTTACGGCCCAAAATGGCGACAACGCGTAAAACGCAAATCACTAGAAAAGTGCCGCTGCCAACCTACGCATTTGAAAGATTAATCAATAAGGCCAACAGCGCATTGTAAACAAGCGTTTTCTAGGATTAAGACTTTGAAACTGAGAAAATTTATGCGAAATCAAAGTTTTATACGTGCTTTTATATTATTATTTATGAAACGACGGGTAGTGAGAATTGTGAAAATTAGGACCACCGGATAATTCGAGTTAATAGGTTGGTTGCCCTTTTGGGCCCCAAGAGCTGCATGATCTGATCAAACCTTACCTCTAAATTTTCGAGTTGTCCATACACTCCCTATAAAGGTGCTCTACTAATAAATAACCGTAATTCATAAAATTACGGAGAGAAGACACTGACTCAAAAAGCCAGGATATGAATGAAGCAATGGATTCGACGCTTAAGAAGGATACGCTCAATTTATTGCGACGGCATGGATATTTTAGACCTTGTGACGTCATGCTGAAACTCCCGGGAGTCAGTGGGTGAAAATGTGCATTTCTCGCGCGCGCGCGGCACCGTGGGCGATTTTCGCGATGTACCGACGAACGGCCGGCGAACAGCGAACAGCAACCGCGGGTCGGATGCAACGCAACGCGCCTCGCGCTGGTCCATGACCTTGCGACCACTCCTAGTTACATTTTAAATGGATCCGTGCCACATGTGTACTAACACTCATCTGCCAACATTTACCGTCAAAACAAAATCGTCTCTCTGCATCGCCCGCCGACGCGACCGCCGACGGCCGAATAGAAATCTCTACCGCGTCGGAACCAAGATTCGCTCGCCTCTCGCATTGATTGTAATTAACGGCATTGTACCCGTTTCAAAAGGTCTTGCACGTGGATTGAATGTGCAGTACGGTCTCAAATACCGCTTTAAAATTTGGACGGAAAACACTCTTTGCTTCTGGATGTGGCTCACTTTGGAAAAGAAGTACCGGAGCTCAACGCGAAAAAGTGTTAAAAATGGCTGACAATTGAAGGCACTGTACACAGCAAAAAAAAAAAAAAAACTTTTTCGCCTTCTTCTCCTACTCCTTCCTTCCTAGCCTTTCTTTTCTTCTTTATCAATTCGCTTTTGTTTTCCTATGCACGTTTTACTTTTTTTCGCTACACCTTCTTTTCCTCGTTTTACCTCCTATTTTTTGCTCTTTTTCTTATTTTTATTTTCTCTATTTTTCCTCATTCTTCCCTTTTCTTCTTCTTTATTCTTTCCTCATTTTCCTCTTTCCCGTTTCTCTTCTGTTCCTGATTTTCTACTGTTCACTTCCTCTACGTCTCCTTATTCTTCCCCTTTCCTTCCCTTTCTTTTTCTCCTCTTTTTCTCATCTTCATCTTCTTCTTTTTTTCGCCTAGCTTTCCTCTGTTTCTATCTCTCCCTCCCTCTTCTCTCTGTTCTTTTTCCTCTTCCTGATCTTCCTCCTCCTCTCCCACTTTGATTTCTCCTAGTTGATTTCCCGATCCTGATCTTCCTCCCCCTCTCCCACTTTGATTTCCCCTACTTGATTTTATATATCGATGGCCCCACCTAAAATTGCGGTTTTTCAAAATTTCCGTTATTTTATTTTTTGGAAGAGGAATTAGCCAACTTCTTCTATTGTTATTCCACTTGGCCTAAAGATGCGGCTCCTAGTTTCGTCTGTAGATGTTCTTCATTCCTGAACTGTTCCTGCATTTGGAGTAAAAGTTGGCCAAATTAGCCAACTTCATAGTTTTAACTCTAAACAGACTGTTTTGCCAAAGAGGAAGAAAAATAAAAGAATAGTTTTTGAGAAATCACGTCACCGAATTTCCCAAAGAAAAAGTAAAGTATAAAGGGAAGTCTACAACTTCGCAGATGGAGATACGCGGTTTTGAACTTTGGCCATCGACAAGAGTCAGAAATACAAGGGCTGTCCTTTTAAAAGCAGGTGCAAGATGGAGGGTTCAGAGCCATGGATGCGTTTTAGCGGATGGTATCGCACGGAGACTTGAACGCGAGGCGAGAAAAATCACCCGTGAACTTGATTCGATGAACCGTGGACCGGCTCCGGGCTCGCGTGTTGGAGCAAGCTCATTATTTCAGAACACTCGCAATCGATGCATAACAAATAAGGTAATGTCTCCTCTCCTCATTCCATCCACCGCCATTCCATCGTGGGAGTCGCACTTTCGTAACTTTTAGGATAAGCCTCGAGGACTTTAACCTTTACCCCCTGCCTTTTTCATTCGCCTTGTATAACTCAATTAAAACTGACCAAAAATATTATACACGCGTTCAGGTTACTTGGTGTTTTACTTCCTATATTAACAAAACATGTCGGGTATGCTGGAAAAAAACACATTGGATCTAGAGTCCAGACTCTTAATAACATTAACAAGAAAAAGTACTCTTGATTCAATCAGAATCTAGCTTAAATCAAGAACCAAGCCTCTTAATTTAAGCGGATTTTCTTTTGATTCGAGCAAAAATCCAATTGAATCAAGAGTATTTTTTCGTGTCAATGTTTTCAAGAGTCTGGACTCTAGATCCAATGTGGTTTTTTTCCCAGTGTGCTCTTCTCACAGTGTATTTGTAAAGTTCTTGAAAAAAAAGTGCAGCTCTGCATCAATGAATTTCTCATCGTGAGAAGAGAAACTTATGACTCCCCTTAAATTTGCTGGAGAAAAACAGTCGGTAAAACTAATTCCAAATCTGTTAAGCTTTCGGAATGTTACGGGTCATTGTCCTAATGTTTTTTTAAAAAATGACCAAAATAAGTGTAAATTGCAAGAGAGTCTTGTTACCCCTGCATCCATGATCGCCGAAGTTACAATTATTACAGCAAGTGTAATTATGAAACCTACTTACATGGAACCGCACTATAGATGAACAATTAACTCAACATTTGACAGCGCTTGAAGTGCTTTCACGATCATTTTAACACTCGACGAAAGCGGACAAGGATCTCCTTGCAATTCGCTCCCATTACTGCCAATTTTAAAAAAATCAAATCACTGACAACACGTTAAGCCTCCATAACCAAGTCCTGAGAGCTTTTGTGATCTGCAGCTGTTTTACGCTAGTGAACTTAGAATTTTCAACCCCCCCCCCCCCCNACGAACATGGAAGCGGAAACCTAACTCTTTTCACATACAGCATTGTTGAAGACGTAAATAATTGTTTAATTGAGGGGTTGATTCGTTATTCAGAGGTGCTTTAATGCGAAAAGGAATCCAGACAAAATTTTCGTCGGAGAGGTTAGACAACTTATCTCTACAAATACAGGATCGACTTGAAATGATCCCATTCACATGCACAAGGAAAATTTGATTTTATTTTTACTCGGTTTTTCCAAAGAATATTCGTGGAACACAGGTTAACACCCCCTCTCTCTCCTTACTTACCCCCATTAATTATGAATCCTCTCACCCAACTGAAAAGTCCTCAGACAGAGTGATGAGTATTTACCAACACGCTGCAATACTTTACTGTGAGCAATATAGTTCGCCGAAATTTTCAAGGAAAAATAAAAACAAGCTATGTTAACATTTCACACTTAACATCAACATTTATACTTTACGGTTTCTTAATTAATTATCACATAAACGTACCAAATGTAAATAATTAAAGTGAGGACAATTTTCAAGTCCCGCTCTAAGACTCCTTAAACATGAATATGTATAATGATCGGTTCTTTAGTTTGGTCTAATGTGCAATGAGGAACTACCATTTCATATTCATCCATGAAGGTATACACTTTAACACAGGAAATATAATGGCACACATTTCGTTCCTAAAATCAGCCAAAAATTGTATAGTTCTTTATTGCATAAGTAGTCTTATTGACCAGTAGAATGTATTATAATTCTGAAGAATCAGGTACCTTTTTCTTGAAACGTTGAATCAGAGTATCGGCGTGGTTCGTTCGTATCATCCAAAAAGGTTCCCAGAGCACTGATTCGTTATCACTGAATAATCCAAGCGAAACGCAACCCGCCAAACACAGAGCCAACCGGAGCTATCACTATCACACAACGGAAACGCGGGAAATCCGACCGGCGAAAAAAAAACCCGGGGCGGAAATCAGTGGACGCCGAAAACTCGCGGTGACTAACGCCGGGCGTGGGGGTGGAAGGGAGGCGGGGGGCCAGAAACGGCAAAGCTCGGTTTCGGAACCAAAGTCGGGAGCGCGCGGAACTAAAAGTTTGCGGCGGCGGTGGAGCGACTGAGCTTGGGAGGCGAAAGAAAAATCTGCCGGGCTCGGCGCCCCCCCCCCCCCCCCCCTGCCCCACGCCGCCGGACCGACCATAGAGCCACCATTCAGGCTGTCCCCGGACACCGCCGCCGCCGATGCGGCCCACGCTCACCTGTGACTCCGCTCGCCCTGTACTTTCCACCGTTGCCAACCGCCCAAATCCGTCACCCGCCGTCATCTGGGTTATTGACCTGTGCACCGGAGAAAATAATTCAATTTTGCAGGAACAATAATTACCATTAAGATGGTCTGTATATTTATTAAAATGGCGCTACAGGTTTGGGAGACATTCGTTACAGTAAGGACGTGGGCGGAACTCGGATGTTTTCGTAGGGGAAGGGGCACCGCATTATTGTGGGAGGCACAAAAAGACACCCTACCGCGGGGAGTCTTGAAGGGATCTATCCACTCTCTTACTCCGATTTTCGGAAAATCAAGTGCTGATAGATATGCTGATTAACTTGAGCCTGCGTGGTTATTCTTCTTTTCGCAGTAATAGCATTTTCCTCAAAAACACTTGACATACTCGTAATTTGAATATAATGTGGTGATGATTTGCTTCGAGCGTTTGAATTTCCCACAAGAAAGTCAAGGGAAAATATGTCAGGTTCTCCGCGAAAATTGTCATTGACATATTGTATTGACGTATCTATGAATGCATCCATTGTTGTGTTTTCTAGAGACTTTAACGAAAATTTAGGAATGTAAGACAACTACTGAGTACTGACTCATTACCACTATTTGGACCGTGTTAAGCAGAAAGGAACCAATCCACATTTTTGAGAAAGTTCAGTTAAGAATGTGTTTGAGTTCCACTTGTCGTATACTTTCTTCTACCAAAAACTCAAAGTCGAAAAATAAAAATTAGTTTACGATTAGAAGGGTTAAAGTTTATTATCTGCATCAAGTTTTATGCAGAAATAAAACTTCAAACCTATTTTTCTCAGTTTCGACTTAATGTGAGTTGGTTCCTCTCTGATGGATTTGGTCTAATTGCAATAATTACTAGAATGGTCCAGGTATTTTTCAGAATGGCGTCACATGTTTGAGAAACATTCTTAATAGCAAGGACATGGGTGAAACTCGGAAGTTTTCGTAGGGGAGGGGGCACCTCATATTTAAGGGGGGTCATAGAAAGACACCCTACCGAGAGGAGTCTTAGGGCAATCAATCCAGTTTAAATGGAAGCTTAGTGAAACATGCGGGAATAGAGATACGCCTTTTCGTCGGAAGAGCGATGATTATAGACTCAGAGATGAAATGTACTCAGGCTTCAACTCCGATGTTTGAATCGCATATAGCAGAAGAGAACCAACGCGAGTTTCAGGGAAAATAAATGCCGATTGGACCGCATTGGCAATTAGGAACTGCAGATTCTGGCTCAGTAGGAATATTGTAAATAAAATTACTTTCCCTATGCACATACGTATTTTTACGGATAAGCTAGAAATTCTAGTTTCCATTTGCAAAATGTTGTCCAATTTATATGCTGATTAACTTGAGCCTATAGCTATTCTCCTAATGGACCACTAGACAAGGCACGAATTTCAGCATTCTGATACATATTTCTCGACTAAAATTTCACGTAGAACACGATGCGCACAACGAAAATTACCGAAATTTACTCCTTACGAAGATATCTAATGATTCTTGATGCGTGAATTCAAACCACCCGCTCATGAAAACTCAATGCTCTACGAGACTCACATCGCGCGCTAAACGTTATCATGACAGTCTCTGCGATATAAAAATCTGGCAACCTCAATCTTGACGCATTGGCTCAGCTATAGCAAATCGCTTATAATTTGAACAACACATGGTGGGAAATGAACATTGCTCGATTGAGAAGCTTGCTGAAATCGTTGTAGTGCGCGATTTGACTCGCGTAGAGCTTTGAGTCTCTTGTGAGCGGGTAGTTCATATTCCTCGTAACCAATGTGAAATATAAACGTTAATATCTTCGTTATGAGTTGGTTTTAGAAATTTTCGTTGTGTAAATCGTGTTTTACGTGAAATTCTGGTTAAGAAACATGTATCAGATTGCTTGAATTCGCACCTTGTCTAGTGGTCCATTGTAGCAACTGCATTTTCTTCAAAACAATTGATTCAATCTGATATTTTGAAATGAAATTTTCAAATTTTGATATTCTGATATTCTGATATTTTTATGTAGAAATGATTCGCTTTGGGCGTTTGAACATCATAAAAATAAGCCGACGAGAGAATGACGGATTCCACGCTAGGAATTTTATTCTTATGGGGTTGGAGTCATCGACGTACTTATGAATGAATCTTTGCAGCATTCCACCGTGGTCAAGAGACTTTAACGAAAATATAGGAAAGTAAGACGACCACCGAATTCTGAGACTTTACTACATTTTCTTGCTAATCAATAAAAACCCCTATCTGCTAAGTGAAATTAATGGTAGACATGTACCTTTTGACTG